TGGTTTAATCGACGTGCGACAAAGCCGCTCCTACATCAAACCAGCTGCTTGCAGATAAAGATTGCATCAGGAAAATATTGATGAAATCCTTAGAAAATATATTAAAATTCCAATTTTGGATGGAAAGAGTAAAAATACAGTGGAGGCGACATTAAAAAAAAGAAGAAATTAAAAAAAAACAGGTTTACCATTTTGGGAAAATTCTTACAAAAGACAAAACTTGTTGCACCATAAAAGCCAAATATCACTGCTGAACACACACGCGCGCACACACACACTCACACACACATAAAATGATACTGGGAAAGTGCACGTTTGTTCCTGCCCACTGAAACCTTTTTTTGTTGCGTGCGATGTGGTAACCTTAAAATAAAAACAATGCAGAAAATGCTGTCAAGTATGAAAGATCAAGTCAAGTTTTTTTGTTTTGTTTTTTTTTTTTTATCTACAGATTCATTTTCATGTACACATTAACACCAGTAATACAGTATTTGACCTCTAAAATACAGTATACAGACATCTTTATTACTTCACTTTTTAAAGGAGGGTTCTGCAATTTTTAAAAAATCTTTTGAATCACAGGTTTGTTGCGGATTGTTCCCAGTTCATTTTCTTTTTTTTTTAGTGTTGCCCACATTCAGGATTAATGGGTCTGAGTGATGACGGTTATGTTAAAATCAGAAAGGTATGAGCACGAACATAAAACACCAGCCTTCCTCTTAAAAAACTTCTTTTTTTTTAAATGTATGTGTGAGTTTTGAGCTACAAACTGGTGTCCGATTTCTCGCTTAGAGTCGGTGAAACAGTTCTTTAAATAAGCAATAAAAGTACAGAAGTTCCACAGGTTTAATAAGGCAAAGCTCCTCATTCTTGATTTCTTTGTTTTGCTTTTTTTTTTTTTTTAATTCGATGGTCCATTATCGTAAATGTCACCATGGTAAAAGGCACCGACTTGCCTTCGGATTTTCTACATTTATCTAATCAGTTGTGACACTAAATGAAACACGTTCTTTGATATAAGGTGGGAAACTACACACAGACTGAAAGCTAGCAGCTCACTTCAGAACCTTGGACCAAGCCAGGCGAAGCCGAACAAAACGGCCCTTGAACACAGAGAAGTTGGACCTTAAATTTTGTTTAGCGTTTTTTTGGTCTGCTATTGTTTTCAGAGCCTCGAGTGCCAAACTCCAGATTAAGCCTCCGATGTATTAACATCCATTAAAGCCACATTAGAGCTAAACATTTGACTTTATAAAGAAATTTGGCGACTTCACCCACAAAAAGAAAACCTTGAAAACTTCCCTCAACTTTCTAATTTGAATCTCTCTCTGGAAGTTCCCCGTGCATATCGGGCGATGCTGGAGCTCAGCTGCAGGAGCCTGGATTAAATTGGCCTTTGCTATCTCTCCTACTTTCCTAAGGTTACCAAAATGTCCCTGCAAAACTGCCAGACTGAGCAAGCTGGTTGTCATCTACAACCCAAAGAACAAACAATAGTTTTCAGCTGATGAGTCCACAGCATCCAGGCCCAAAAGCTGCACATCACGGCAAATTCTACTGTGAAGCCTCCCTGTTGCACTTGCTGTGCCAGATTTGTATCCCTGAGGTGTTTTTCCTCTTCAGCAAAACTAAATCCAGTCTGAAATGTGTTCAGTCTAATGCACCAGTGAGAGGTGCATTAGCTGTCCTGGGGTGCACAAGGAGACCACACTGAAGGAGCGATCGGACAAATTTCAAATCACGTCCGGTTAGTTCTTCTCATGGGTGAAGTCACAAAAGTTTGTGAGATTTTTTTTTTAAAGGAAATAAATACCCGGTGAGAAAAACGACACATTCACACAGAGACGCCAATGTTCTCAAGATATTTCCTTAAAAAACAAAACCTTTAGATGAACCAAACGCTCATCTATACTGGCTATAGCTACATTTGTACAACACAAGCAGTGCTGTCATTTATAGTCATATGTATTTATTTCTTTACAGCATTTTAGCTGACAGATAAAGAGTGAAGAGAGTTAACTGCAAACATGTTAAAAGGAGAAGAGAAACAGAAGGTTGTCTGGGAATAACTTCAGAACATTCTCGGTCTCCCTCATTAACACCGGGTACTTATTTCTTCTTTAAGAGCAACTCTTGTTGAGCGCCGGGAGGCTGTGAATGCTTTTACATGAGAGGCACAAAAGCTGTGACAAAGCCTGAACATTCAGCATAGGCAGCGAAATAACTGCTGTGAGAATCCTTGGCTCGCGAAGCTTGTTTTCGTTTCGTTTCGAGCCCGCGTGTAGACGTCACCTGCGCTCCCAGCTGGCATGCACACCTAAACACAGACTATAGTTTCCAAAGTTGTTCTGAAAATTGGCGCTTTTTAAAAAATAGATTAGTACTATCACAATCATACGAGCTATCTACCCCACCGACTCCTACTCACACCGAAGATGAAGAATCTGTTTCATCTTTACTACTCGGGTTCACGAAGTCTTTCTTTTCCCACACCAACGAGTAATTCGAGCATTTTTTTTAAAGATATTTTTTTGTTTTGTCATCGTCGACACTAAGTCTGCCAGCAAACATCGCGTGTGATGGAAAGTGGACGCCACTGTGCACCTGGTGGGCAATTGTGTCAGGACTGCCCGCTGTGGGCTGTGCTTGCTTGTGGCGCTTTTAATACTGATGTGGATTTGCTCTTTTTGACAGCAGCAGGCATGAGGGGTGGGGGAGGCAGGAGACGGGAAATCGAGGTGCGAGGACGTAAAGTGCAAGGGGAGAAGTTCCAGTGCACCTTCAAGATTAGACGGGTTTAAAAAAACAGAAAAATCTGACACATGAGCATGCATGGTTCAGGAGGAAAGCAAAAGGATAGAAAAATGAGGGGATTCCATTCTTCTCTTTCTGGGAGTAATTAAAATATCCTAAAAACATGAGTTTGACGAGGGAGAGGTGTGTGCAGGAAAAAAAGGATGATGGGATTTCTCCCAGTCGACACGTGCGTCTACCTCTCAGGAGCAGAGAAAGTGTCAGGCCCCACAGTAGAAATCTCAGTGAACCTGGACTGCAGCAATCGAGCAGGTGGAAGTAAAGACAGAACAGTTTCTGAGAGGGAAGCATGTTGTCGTTACAGTACTTGAGTTGTTTCTCGCGTTCCCACGCCGTTTGGCATTTCCAATGAGTGCGTCTGAGGTTTTAACTTCGGGGCTGCTACTGTACACGTCCCCAAAGTCCTCCTCCCTCGTCGTCTGTTCTCGGAGCCTGGCTCAGGTTTCTGCATCAGTTGGTGAAGGGCGTTCACATGTTGTAGGCCACGTAGATGGGGTCCAGTTGGTCAGCCAGGAAGGAGTCTCGTAGATGCATCCTCTGCTTCTCTCCCCGGGAGTTGATGGGGATCACCCCTGGGTCCACGATGACCACCACTCCGACGATGAGGTGGTGCTCCTCCAGGACCACGTTGGTGACGAGTGGCACCAGGTCCAAGGCCTCCTGCTCCGAGCCGCTAAGCTCCGCCACCACCACCAGCAGGTTGGTCCACGTAAACACGGCGCTGCGAAGCGAGAAGTGGGAAAGGTTCAGGTTTCTGCTACCGTTTGCTACGAGGATCAGCAACGCCACGTTAAGTGCACATCTGCTGCTCCTTACCTCTCTGCGATGCTGCGGTGGGCGCGGGACACGGACGTCTCGATGTCGATGGGGTGATAACGCAGCCCCCTCAACTCCAGCGTTTCATCCAGGGATCCCACCACAAACAAGGCATCATGGCGATCTGTGGCGGGGACATAAAACTATTTGATTATTTACATTTCCTACAATATAAAGTGTCTTGTTTTAAACATCTGGCCACAACTGTGCAACCTGTACCTTTAATAGATTAATAGATTAGGGTCCAATGTTGTGATGCATTTGTGATGAGAACTTTCAGTACAACCAAGCATTTACGTTTTAAAGGGTTCAACACCAATTGCTCCTCCAAGTCATTATTACATTATTACAATGTCACCAAACATCTTTTATCAAATGTCCTCTCACCTCCACTTGCATCCAGCAGCTCTGTTCTCTTGATGAAACCCAAGTAACTGGTCCTGGCCCACAGAGTTTGGGGCTCCCCAAAGCTGAGCCTGGTGTTGAAGTGGTCTGCCTGCAGGCTCTCCTCCCCATAAATGGTGTAGTAGCCACTGGCATTGTGTGGGCTGTTCACCCAAATCTGCACAAAAGAAAAAAAGACTTTCTGAATCACTTTGGCTGCTAACTTTTGACAAGAAGAGAGAAATTTGACTAAAAATCAACATAAAATAAATCTTTTGACTGTCGCCCTCTTCCTTTACTCCGTGCCAGTGAAATCGGAGTTTGTGGCACATGTTTGCGCACTCACCTCACCAAGATGCGAGTCTCCCAGTGGGCCTCTGGTCTCTGGGTTGACTATGATGACTCTCACTCCTGGTAGGATCTTCGAGGAGGATATGAGAGGAGAATTTCACTTTAAGACTCCTTTAACCAACTCTTTTAGTGCTCTGGTTCTGTGGCCACAGTGAGCATCACATAAGTGAGTTTTACCAGTCAGTGATCGATACTTACAGTGCCCGACTCCATGAGTGGAAGACTCTGTGGCGCTCCTCTTTCCACTAGCCTCACCCTGAGGGACACAGAGAAAAGACAAGCCTGTCAGTCTTTCTGTTGTTGTCCACCAGCTGCATCACGTGACTAATGTTGTTGTCTTTGTGCTGCTTTATGAGAGTCTTCAGCCTTACCTGTCGTGACGCAGGGACTTCATGTCAACATAGACAGTGGAGGGGTCTGGTCCAGCAGTGCCCTAGTGATACGGGGGGGTAATACATTAAAAACAAGTTTTTTTAGCTTACAGAACATGAATAAGTTATTATCATAAGTTATTAACATCCAGTACATCTCCTTGTGCAGCTCAGATGACATGGTTTTTTATTTTTGTTGAGCAGAACCAAATAAAAGCCTGATTTGGGTCAAAATGTCCTCATAAGACTGCATATTTGCGAAACCAACCTGAAGGCAGATGGCTAGGTTGACCCTCGAGCCAAAGGCGGTGCTGACGGCGCGAGGTGAAAGGCCGAGGTCTTTGAAGAGCTTGGAGAAGGACTGGGTGAGAGCGAGGCGAGGACGCTCCTCTGCTATCACCACACAGCTCCGCACGCACGACAGGTTCAGACCGCGCGCCTGCAGACACGAACGGCTAAAGGTCACTCACTTTTAACAGGTGTAGACGGTAGCTTGACGCAAACATGGACTCTGCATTACTGAACATTTTCATCCAAAGTAAAAGGAAAACCGAATGAGGACAGATAAAGGATAAAATAAAGATAAGCACAGACGGAGACAGAGTGATTTTAAAACAGATATGATACATGTAAGGCCCATAACGCTGTAAACATACAATCTACTTAGGCTACGTCCACACGTACACGGGTATTTTTGAAAACGGAGATTTTCCGTTTTCGTTTTAAAAAATAATCCCGTCCACACGTAAAGGCAGAAATGAAGGAAAACGCTGCTAGGAACATGCCTAAGCAACAGGTGGCGCTATATTCCTAACCGTGTAGAAATGTTGGCCAATCAGAAGTCTAGAAGCCTCGGTGGGAAATAGTAAACAAAGATGGGGCATAGAAGCAGAACCGCGTCGTATGTGTGGAGGGACAGTAACTGTGTGTGGACATGTAAGCATTTAAACACTGCAGAGAGAACAATTAACAGTAACAGTATTGTAGAAATTCATTTCACCGAAACAATAACGTGGCGCACACTGTGACGTCAAAAAAAGGCGCACACCTTTGACGCTGCGTTTTCTCCGTTTTTCTTGTCCGTAAATGCAAAAACGGAGTTTTAGAAAATATCCACCCTGGCCAGAGTTTTTAGAAATCTCCGTTTTCAGTGACCGAAAACTCCGTTTACGTGTGGACTAAAGGTGCAAACGCACAGAAAAATCTGCGTTTTCAAAAATACCCGGGTACGTGTGGACATAGCCTTAATTAGCATGCTAGCTCGCTGGCAGGTGATCTGTCTGAATGAATAAGGTGAATCATTTTTTAAGCCTGAGACAGGTGTTTATTACTCTGCTTCACAGCAGTAATATTTTCTGTCATAAAGTAATTTATCACTGTGTTGTTTGTCAGAGTAACAACAGAAATGACAGCACGGTAATCTGAGAGGAGGAACCACATTTGGGGGATTATGCGAGTGTGTTTGTGACCTTCAGCATCTCCGTCTGGGTGCCCAGGCCTTTGGTGCAGAGCTCCATGACAGAATACGAGCAAAAGGTGTCTCTGATCTTGTACTGACTGAGCGTGCTCAGCCACACGGGCAGCGAGCTCTCCAGCTCCAGGGGAGGGATAAGGATGGACTGGTGACCTGAGTAAACACTGGAAACGAGAGAAAACTGTCAGCAACAGCAGAGCTGTGAGTTACAAGAATAATGGCCTTCTGTCTTTATGTTTGTGTTGGAATTACCTGGAGAGGCACCACAGGACGAAGCCCAGGCCACAGTATGGGTCCAGGCAGATGGCTACTTGGCGTGAGGAGTAGAGCTCACACTGCAGTTTAATGGAGCGGCACAGAGTACTGACCGCAGCGTGAGACATCTGAAGAAGCAGAGAAACTTTTAAGAAATCCACCAGACTCCATTAAACTTCACCTCATTAGTATGATTTTAATACCTCAATATGAATCAATAAAGACGTAGTTTGATGACCATTAGAACAGGTAGCATGTTAGAGTTAAAAATGTGTATTCTTCTTTCAGCTGCTCGTTCTAGGGGTCACCACAGCAGAACATCTTTCTCCATCTC